ATTCCCTGACGAATGCAAACGTTCTTCGAATCTGGAAGAAGAGATTGATAGCAATGAAGTGGAGCACCGAGAAGAACTGGAATATCTCGAAAATCAAAGGGGCGAAGATCTAGAAGACATCAAGAGATTGGAGGAAAAATTGAAGGAAGCCGAAGAAAATCAGCAAGAGATGCAACAAATCAGAAAAGAATTAAAAGACGTCAAATTCAAGTTTGCACTTAATTTGTAAATTTCCCGGCGATTGCAACATCTCAGCACCATTGGACTGGTGAATCGGATGTACGATTCAAGTCGTGTAAGTTTTTTTTATCACTTTCACTTTTTACGCCTTAGTAATTTTTATTGACTGAATTTTTGTGTTCTTTCAGGACACGTTGTTTTTGACGAAATGTGTTCGTGAATTATCATCTGCCCCCGAAGAGCTGCTGTCAGTACAGCCGCTGACTGCGACTGCAGTAGCCACAGCGATAAGGGAAGCTAAAGCGGTTACCTTGCAAGCCTCCCCGCCCCCCAAACGCCCCCGCCAATGAACAAAGGACAAATGCGATAATAACGCTTTTAGTAAAGGAGTAATTTATTCATAATTTTAGCGAATTTAGTCGTTTGTAGAGTTCACATAAAGTAGTAACTTAGTAGTGATTTTTAGCGAATTTAGGCAATTTGAGTTGATGTTCAATGATTGAAAATAAAAAAACAACAGTTTGATGAAAATGAGCAAAAAATAAATAAAAATAAATTCATCAGAGCATTATTGCATTTATTGGAATTAAAAATATCATCATTATTTATTTATTTGTATATTTTTCCTACTTAGCAAATATAATTGGATGTGTATAAGATCATTAATTTATTTACATATAAAAAATTGGCTTCCCATGAAATAAGGTATCGCATAATGCATAACTGAATTTTTGCATAATTAACTTACTAATAAGCACAAAATCTTTATCTTTTTTCAAGATTTTTTTCATCAATTTGTGAATCTTACGTGAATTAAGAGCAATACGATCATAAACACTCCATTTCATTCTTTTTAGACTGTGTCGTCGTGCAATTGGGCCAGTATTCTAGGAACAATCAAAATAAAAAGTGCATGCTCGTTTATTTTTGATGCAAATGATGACATTGGGGTAGGTTTTGTACAAAATACAGTAATAAATACTGTTAGATTTACGTTGTTGGCATTCGGAACTGAAGAGTTAAAAGTAACACGAGAACTGGCATTATTCCACTTTGAAGAATCGATTTCTAAATTTAAGAATACGAAAATTGCGTTAACTACTGTATATTATTATTTAACCGTAATAAGTGAGTACCCCCAAATATGATATTTTAATGCAATAAGAATGGATGAGTGGGTTGCTGAACTAGTACCTTGTGAGAGGAATCCGTAGTTGACTCGACGGTTGGTAAGATTGAGATTTCGTCTGCCAACTTTTCTATAATGGTCATACTATTTATGAATGAAAAGCAAAATAGAGTGCGAAATGCGTAAAAATTCCGGCAATACTAGTCTGGATTACGGTCTCTGTGGTTGTTTCATGAACTTTAACTACACTCGGTTGTGTGGTTATTTGAAAATTGGTGACGACATTTGTTTGCATAGTCACATAATCTATTAATGGAGGTAATTTTGTTGTGTATATTGGTCTCTCAGTTGTGGTAGTAGTTGTCCTGTCTAAATGTATGAATATTTTCAAATATGGTATAAAGGAATTAAACATCACAGCTACATACCTGCTAACTCTGTAAATGTGGTTATTTCTGCACTTTTTGAATGAACATTAAATTTACTCTGTTGCGTAATTGCTAAAATTCAGAAATTAATTTATCATATTAGTACAATAAAACATTCATAAGAATGCTTCAAAAAGACCTACCAAACTTGTTCACTCGTTGGCACGCTTTCTCAGTTCGGAACGTTGCCAGAATTCCTACTGGAATTTCATCACGGTTGAAACATTTCCGAGCACTTGCACTTGTAACTCCATACAACCAATACAATCAGCTACTTTAATGCATTGATGACAGCCTTCATGCCGAGCGCATTTGCGTAGGAATTTACAATTTGTAGAGCAACACAAATTAATATGATTACCTTCATTGCTCGGCAATAATCAATTTTTTCGCACGTATAAAATTAAATGTTTAAATAATTTTATTTAAAATAAAACTGGGCGTAATTCTTGTGGAATGTCAAAACTGGAGTTGAGCCCAACTTATGCAAGCAACATAAATTTAATTATGCTATTAAATGCGAAACTCAACACCTAGTTTCTTGCCAACTTTGCATAACTAAAATATTAGTGCATCTCTGCATAATAATAATATGTGCACTGAATTCATACGCTCACGTTATTAATACATGCTGAATAGTCAATGGTCACTGCGCTGGGGTCATCTGCAACCCCCCTGGGGGGGTCAGCCCCCAGCATCGCGTGTAAAATTTTGCATGCAAAAAAACGCATGAAAAAAGTTGCATGCATTTTGCTTAAAAATCTATCAATAGAAACTGAGCGAGGGTTGCACAAATGTCCTTTGTATCCTATCATTATTAACAAGTTACTCGGCTACAATACAAAAAATCAAGTGGTCCTTAGTTATTTCTTTGCAAGCTCGGAATAAAGTATCTTGTATCTTGAAAAAATTATTTCAAATAAATATCTTGTATCTTGTATCTGGGATCACAGCAGATAAAATCTATCTTATATCTTGTATATTGTGTAACTCTAAGTATTTGTATTTAGTATCTTGTATCTTAGGGTTCGTTCAAAATATTTTGTATCTTGTATCTTTGAAACAAATTATCTTGGCCAACCCTGGAAGTCATATATATGTACACTCCGTGATGGTATTGATTTGGTGATAATTTCTTACCGGGTTGGTAATAGTTTGATTCCAAGTGGTGAGTTTTCACCACAACGGGGTATATTTTTCCCTATGCGGTGTTGCCCGTTATCACTGCTCCGGTTAAGTCATATTTATATGCAGAGGCTAAGCGAGACAGGCCCGGCCCTGGGCATAAAAAAATTTCGATCAGAGCTCAAAATCTCAAAACCGCCGATTTTCGGCGGTGCGCCGACTTTCGGTGCCGCCGCCAAAGGGTAAAATCGTTAGCGATGCCTCGGCGCAAATTTCCGGCACGCTGCGGACGAAAAAATGTGTTTAATATTAGGGTTGCCCCGGGTACCGGGTAGTTACCCGGTACCCGGCCTGTTTTGGGATACCCGGTACCCGGCCGGGTAGACATTACTACCCGGTCTACCCGGCCGGGTAATTTAAATGTTCAATTTTTTGCAAAACCTCACAAAAAATTATAATCCGATGAATTACATTTTTTTTCCTTGGTGTAAACTGATATATTTTGAAAGAATGCGTACAAAGTAGGCAAATTCTTAGATGGAAATAATTATCCAGATATTAAAATTACTTTGGATGAACTCACGTCAACCCTTGCATATGTCCCAGATTAAGCATGGCAACATAACTTGCGAATCGCACGTTGCGATGTTTTGCGAAATTTGAGACGTTTCTGAAAGCTTTCGCTAGAAAACCATTGGTTTTGCAAATTTGTCCAGCAATTAGGCACACTAAAATTTCGCAAACTCATCCTCCTGGTTATCAGCGAAAACAGTTAAGAAATCCATAAAAACAAGATCAAAATATGTAGGCGTCTGTAATATAACTGCGAGACTTTCAAAGTGATATTTTGCGACTCCCCTCATGAAACAAGTTTGTTGAGCTACACAAGTTTGCTAAATGGGTGGCGATGATAAATAAGACATTGTCGTGAGTAGGCTCTGTGAGCCCCACATAGTGTTTTCATCTACGACCCATACAGATTTTTTGTAAATATTACTTTTATCTGAAATTTGACATGTAGGTTAAAAATGACTTATGCTTAACAGATACAACTTTACAAGTCCAAGATTTTGAAAATCCCAACCTCATTTTTACTGGCAGTGAAATAAATTAAAGATTAGGTGTCAAGTACGTACTTTGAAATATTTTCAAAAAAGCATTCGACCAGCCACACCACCAGGGGTGATAGTCCGGTCAAGTCGGACACAAATTTAGAATGGGACTTTGTCCCAGATTCGGGCTAAATGAAGTCTGTGCTTTATGTTTTAACTTGCAACTTTTTAAACCTGGTAAAATTGTTACAAATTCTAGAGAAAAGTAAAATAACTCCCTTATTTTTAATGTATAAATATTACCCGGTACCCGGCCGGGTAGCCGGGTACCCGGCGAACATTTTAGGCCGAGTACCGGGTAGCCGGGTACCGGGTAGTAGCACTACCCGGGGCAACCCTATTTAATATCAACCTAAAACGTTGTGTTTGTACCCTCGCTTTCGACAGTTTGTGTAATTTTGAAAATTTTACTATACGTTGAAGTAAAATATGTAATTAATATATTTTTTAAGCAACTTCAACTTGATCAGATCAATGGTAATCGAAATTTTTCTGCAAAAGAACAACGATTTGGGCTTGTTCCAAAAATCCGCTCAAGAACATTTTTCGCTGTTCTAATCAAAACGATTTTGGCGTATACTCGTTGCTAAGCACACTGTTACGAAGTAAAAATGCAGGGGTTGGGGTATTCCAGTTAGATTTTGATCCGAACGATTTTATATCTGTACTAGCATATAGCCCGGCTAAGGCGGTGTTCTAGGGTTCCAGTGGGGGGTGTGCCCAAAGCGAAAAATCATTTGCATCCTAATTTGAGGACTTTAAATATTGCATTTAATATTTAATATTCTTGGATAGTATTCAACATAATGGTTACTCATCCTCAGAGGTGGTAAATTAAATTAAAGACTGGACATTGAATTACTTGAATAATTTACTTGAAGGCCATACGGATTACAAATTAATTCTACTAGACGAACTTTCTCACTAGTTTGGCCTTAAGTCTATACATATCTTCATGACAATTACATATGCAAAAGTGATTAACGCAATTAATATTTCAAATCATGCATTGTCCAAAGTGTCGTAGTGTATTTTATAACATCGATTCCAAATCAGGTACGTAACCAACCCAGCAAAACTGAATAACGCGATTGCACCAATTACTATGCCAACAATGGTCCACGCGCCAAGGGAAGAACTTGGTGGGGTAACCTGCTCCCACATTCCAGTGCTGGTGAGGAATTTATATCTTTAAATAATTATCTATAACCTAAAAACCATCTTCATATAAAACTTATGTACCTGGGCTAAAGTCCGTTTGATTAGGCCGGTTTTCCCTAAATGCTTCAAAGTATGACTGATTTCCCCCATCTCCTAAGTACACAGTCCTTTCCCATCCATCCTTAATAACGACTTGATCCTCACACGTGTAAGAATGACCGATCGGTGTAGCAATAAAATCATCCAACTCGACGTCCATGTGCTCATAGGTTGGAGAGGCCATATCCGTAAAGGACCAGGGATCCTGAAAAATATTCGCCTCAAATCTCCGAAGATAAAAATGCGTTGAATTCCGTTCAAACAAAAATTTCATTGAATTTCCCTTCATAACTGTGCGACTCCTCCAGGTCAAATTTATAACGCCTTCTGCACAGTCACCATCCACATACACTGTAAGAAATTGGGTATTGATTCTAAAAAGAATTTAATACCAACATCGCAGTATTAAGTTCATAGCACAATTTCGGTATTGAAACAATACAACAGGTTGAAACCAGACGTAACATTTTCAATACCGAGAGAATTTGTATAGATTTTACTGCCCATGGTATTGAAAGACTGCAATATTGGTATTGATATAATACCAAATTTTCTTGTCTCATGTTTGGCCGTTACACGACGCTCGCCCGGGAGCCAGTAGTGACTCTCCTTCATTTCATTCTCCTTTATTTTTTTCCATAATTTTTTTCACAATGAGTTCTACTAAACTAGTTCGGGTTTCAAATAATATTAGGGGCAAGAAATTAATTTCATCCGACGGAAATTTTGAAGAATTTCTATCATCAGGTAAGCAAACATATCCTTACACTATTTTTAAACAGTATTTATTGGGATTTATTAAAGTTTTGCGAACTTTTTCTTTGTATTTATTAGTAAGAAGCAAATTTGAGTTGGATGAAGCAGAAAATATTACTTTCGTGGATGAATACGGTGCCGAGGTGGACTCTGATGTTTTCCCAATTTTGGTCAGCCTAGATGGGATTCAAAATATCATATTCAAGCTAGAAGAAGAGTCGTCAGTATTGGAAATTGACCTAAGCTACAATAATACATCGCAATCAAGTTATTGTAAGTCTTTTTCGAATAAACACTTCTAGTCTAGTATATTACCATTTTCAGTTTTTAAGCTATAACTGTTGAGGAAATTCCATTGAATAAGTGTGATATTTTTTTAATGAGTGAAAGTTATCGTACTAATATGCAATAATATTTGTCTGTAGTTTTACCTGCGGCAGGAAATATTGGGCTTTCTCAATCGTTTGGAATAGGGGATAATTTTAAACAAGTACAGTACATACTTAGTTAATTGTGCCAGATTATTATAACAACTTTACTAACTATTATTTTAGATTCTCCAAACCACGGTTCAACAAAACAATGTAATACACGGTATTGTCGAAGATTGCAAGAGTAAAGGCTTCGTGGACGATAAATCTTCGACAATTCTCATTAATGAATTTGTGTCAAAACTTATAGAGATAAAGGGGTAAGGATATAATAAACAGTTTGACCTGAATTTTTATTTTATATTTATTGCAACTAATTTATCCAATTCCAGAGACTCACCTGCGACGTCGGTGCAAAAACAATTCGCCGCAGCAATTGTTGAAATTCTCCCCTGCTGGCGTTATTCTGGCTCAAAAGATGGCTTGGTATGGTAATTTTTTTGTGTAATTAATACATAAATGCGCTAATTAATATGTTATATTACATGTATATGAATAAATTTATTTTAATTAATTTCAGGACATTTTATTTGACGAAGTCAGCCGGTCTGGACTTATTCAGACCAGATTGAGACGAATTCATCAAATTCTCCACACGTCTCAAAAAGTGAATTCTGCAAAAAAAACAAAGAAAAGATCTACTAGTGGCCCCTGCGTTAAAACAGCAAGAAACGAAGAGCCAGCTGATCAACGACCGACAATATGAGAGTTTAATTCTTCTGCTGAACGGGACATGCGCAAAAACAGGAAAAGAAAGATTAAAAGAATTAATTACTAACACTTATCATCACAGGAATTATCTGAGGCAAAGCAACCCACAGTCTATTTTTCTCCACTACAAAAAATTCAAAGAATGCGATTTTATGGTAAAAAATATCACATAACCGTTGGAAATGAAAGTTATGAAAATTATTAACTAATTTGGAAATTATTTTTTGTAGATTTCGTTTGAGTTCTCACTGATGAAGGAAGAATCGCAACACAACTTTACAAATTCATGGCCAGTATTTTCATCAAAACTACTAATTAAAGCTAAAGAGTTTAATTCGTCACCTGCTGTAACCAAATATTTAGCTGAGGAATCGGGTATAAGTTAAAATAATATAACTTTTTTTTCCTTATCAGAATAAATTAAATAAATTTTTGGCATGACTTTACAGATCAGTGGGATCAATCTTTAGCTGCTCTGTTTTTATAATTACATTTAATTCCCCCCGAGGCGCAAGGGAAGGCGAAGGGAAGTCGCAGCAAAACAACGTGTGCACAGATGTTGATGGTCTCGTATTACAAAGTATTTTTGTGCATAGACATTTTGTGATATTAAATGGTTTTAATATTGCGATATTTCAAATATGTTAAGAAAATTACCTAAATTTATTTAAATCTATTTTAGAGCGGAACACCCCTCAATTCAATCTTGGACACTTGGAGTGACGAAAAGCGACAGCCCAATTTAATTTGTCTTGGAGAAGACAAGAAGAATTTGGTATCTTTTTTCCTTGTAGTGGACAAAATACTTCTTCCTATTGACGCGACAAATTCCACAGAAGCCATTGATCGTTTATTCAAGTCACACTACGTTTTTTCTGCGGAATACGACAAGAATTTGCAGGGAGTCTGGAAATTTTTGCAAGTATTCATCTATAAAATTGATGTCGACAAAACAGATCTCTCAAGGAAAATCAAGCAAGTCTCATCACAACTGCACGGGATTCTAGCGGAAAGCAGATTGGAATAATGTTTATTTGTCCAAGGTGTCAGAAGTTAATTTTAGGGGTTAGTGAGTTTCACGACCATATTAAGTTTACACATAATATTACACATATAAATTTTACTAAATCAATTTGTCCTTATGACGGGTGCAATGTAGAAATATTTACTTGGAGTGGGTATCTACGTCACTGTAAATCTCACGAGATAAGTTTACAACAGGAGAATATACAAAGTCTTAATAATATTTTAGAATCAAATTCAAATGAGACAACCAATTTGGAAGACCCAGAGGTTTTTGAAAACATTACTGTTGATACTTGTATTGAAGTAATTATTGATAGTTTAGGCAACTTTTGTGCGTCTTTGATGGCGAAGGGTGTGAATAATTCCGTCGTAGATTTTGTTGTCAAAGATATGGAGTATTTAGTTACAGAAATTATTGATGTAATTTGTAGATTAGGAACGCAAACATTTAGTAACGAATTTATCCGTT